ACTAGCTGTGAGGGGTACAAGAGCAGCGGATCCAAGCAGATTCCGAATAAACAACAAACCACAGCATGAGTGCTTGACGGTGGTCAGGCGCCACCCTGGTTTCACCCGCAGTGAGGACGCCAAGGCTTTTTCCGACCACTTGTTTCCTGGTGCCTGTACAAGTTTCTTAGGGCCGCCATAACACCGTCCACAAGCTAGGTGCCTCAAACAACAGTGTCAGCGCTCACCGTTCTAGAGACCGGAAGTCCACAATCAGGGTGTCAGCGGGGCCTGCTCCCTCTGACTGCTCCAGGGAAGAACCCCTCCTGGCCTCCTCCTGCTCCCGGCACCCCGGGCTTATGGTTGCATAACACCAAGCCTCACCCTACCACCGCAGTTCCCGCTCCTCCGTGTCTGCAGCGCTCCTCTTGTCTCTTATAAGGACATTCTCCATTGGCTATAGGGCCCACCTGGACAGCCCCAGAAGTGCTCATCAAGACCCTCAACTCAATTATTGTGTACATCTGCAAAGATCCTTTTTCCCAAATGAGGCCACAGTCACCGGTTCCAGAACTTTCCTTCTGGGTGGACGCTGTCCAGCCCACTCCCGTGCCCTGCCTTGCTGGTACCCACTGCACACTTAGCATTCTGGGCGGTGATCTGTCGCTGCCCAAAGGACATCTCTATTTGCTGTGACCATCATCACCAGACATGCCACCCTCAGACAGTGACCAGTGTGTTTCAGATCTCTCCAAGAGCCTCGTTCTCTCAGAAACAGGCAGGAGTGATCTCTGCATCCAGCCCAGGAGGGAGGAAAGGAAGAAAAAGAAAAACAACACCTAGGGATCCTAGAACAGCTGGCTCCAGTTCTAGAGCAGGAACTATACAAGGGACCCCTGGAACAGCCTGAGCCAGGAGGCAAAGGAAAAAGACTTGGGCCTCCCGCCTAAGAGACACAAGAGCCAACCTAACGGTCCCACTGGCCAAATGTGGGGCAGATTTACCATCAGAAGAATGATTAGCGGGCCAAACGGCGGGCAGTAACACACGTGGGACAGTCCGGGTTCACATTCCAGGTCTCCCTGTACACGCCAGGCACACACGCACGCCTGTGAGCCCGGCTGGCTAGGGCTGAGGTAGACCTTAGTTATGAAGATCCTGCTGGGAGTCTCTGTCTGTCTGTCTCTCTCTCTCTTGTAGAAGAAATAAACAAGCTTTTAATATACCCCAAGGGCCAGCAGGTGGTGAGGTGGTTGAGGTGCTGGATTCCCACATGGCTGACCACGGTTCAAGTCCTAGACCTGGCAGCATGGAAAACACAGAGGAGAACAGAGAAGGAATTGTGGCATAGCCACCCCCAGGGGTTGATATCTCTCTCTCTCTCTCTCTCTCTCTCTCTCTCTCTCTCTCTCTCTATCTCTCTCTCTCTCTCTCTCTCTCTCTCTTTTTCCCTCCAGCAAGCCCACATGGCCTACAGCAAAAAAAAAAAAAAAAAAAAAAAAAAAAGGTAATAATAATCATGGAGAGCCTAACACATTTAATGAAAAAAAAAATTCATGAGTCAAATTCATGTCTAAAAAACAGAGCCAAGGGAAGAAGAAAGGATAAAAGAAAAACACCTTCTTTATCAGAGAATGTCAGCTAATACATACAGAAGTAATAGAATTAGAAAACGGAGTCAACTGAGAATCATGCACAATGCCAAAATGACTGGGGAAGGTGACTGAGGACATGATCTTCTCGGGGTCTCAGTGCGCCACGCCACGGGACGCTGAACAGTCATGAAGAGGAAAATGTGACTAGGTACAGAAGTCGACCAGTCACCAAGCCGCGTAAGGCTCAGCATGGCAGTCAGATCTGGGGCTCCTCCCGGGGTCAGGTGAGTGGGGACAAGTCACAGGCCAAGGTGGGAAGTAAAGCCAGTCACAGGCCCACGGTGGGGATGGCTTCAACCTCCCTGACAGCACTGGACCCTGGCTGGCCGAGCTCCGACTCAGCCACTGCCTGCTTTGCTCAAGTGAGAAGCATTCCCAACCAGGTCTGGATATTATGGCAGCTCATTGGGGTCTAGGAGTGTTTGTCATCCCTGGTCTTCAGAGCAGAGGAATTACTCTGCAGGACCATTCCCCTTAGATGGCACAGGGGCAGGTGTTCTCTTCCAGGCCAGGAGAGCAGCTGAGAGACTTGGGGGTGGGATTCGAGCTGAAGCTCACCTTGTCCTTCCCTCCTACGGCCACCTCACACCTTCTCCCTGGCTGCCTGAAATACCTGCCTCCTGGCCCGATGCTGCCCACCGGGCATGGAAGCAGCCATCTGTCCTTCTTCATCTCCGAGATGCCCAGGTGCAGGCCGTGTGGGTCCCTGTCAGGAGTGACATTAGGTACAAAAGCGAGATGTCACGGTTTTTCTGCCTCTTTTCCCATTGTCTTGGGGCTGGAGCCTCGTTCAGCCCTCGGGGCATGCAGAGCTCTGGCTTTTGATAATTATATGACTCCTCCCAGCCTCAGACAAAGGAAGCCCTTGCAGTGAGAAATGGGTCTGGATGGTGATCATTTGTGACTTGTATTAATATTTACAACAATAACATTTTTCATGGGTAGGATTTTTTTTTGTCACTGCAGGAAATGAAATGCAAATTAACAACTGTAAAGATTATAACATAATGAAATAGGACATAAATGATGAAGAACTAATGAATTAAATGGCTTCAAGGCATGGAGGGAAAATGCCCTTCAAAAGCAAACATGTAGATAGAGCAAGAGATTAATGTGGAGAGTGGGCTCTGGCTCAGGCCCGGCCTAGCCCTGCCCCAGGGCTGGTCCTGCTCCACTCTGACTCAGGGGCTCCACCGCTCTCCACCTAGTTACCTCAGCAAAAAATAAAACAAAATAAATAGCACACAGGTATCCTCCTGCACTGCATTCTTCCAGCCCCTCAGGTCAGCGTCTCAAATCTTGGCGATTTCCATGTCTCTTGAATCTATTGCCCTGCCTATTTCTTTTGGTTCTTCTTTATATCTTCCATTTTTTTGACTGAGGCTTTCTATTTTTCCATTTGTTTGAAGTATTTTTGTAGTTGCTCACTGAAGCATTTTTATGATGTCTGTTTTAAAACCCTTGACAGATAATTCCAACATCTCTGTCTTCTCAGTTTGTCATTTATTATCTTTTTTCATGAAGTTTGAAATCTTTCTGGTTTTCCTAAGTGATTTTCAGTTGAAACTTGGATATTTGGGATATTATATTGTAACATTTTAGACCTTACTTAATCTTCTCTTTCAGCTAAATTTTCCTGACACAGTGCCAACAGGGGATATGAGGGTGGAAAGTAGGCACCACCTCATTACTGCAAAGATGAAGGAGAACCCCAAGTTCCTCACTGGGCTTTCATTGACTCCTAAGATGGGAAGTTCCTCAGTAGTGTTCAGTGACAATGAAAGTCCTGATTCTGTGCTTGACCTCTGATATCACCCTGGGGAAGAAGGGTTGGATCACTTTTTTACAGCCTGGTGAGGAAGGAAGTCCAAGCTCTCCACTAGGCCTTTGCTGACATAAGTGGGTTGGGGTCACAATTTATTCTGCAGTTTTGACTCTAAGTAGTATGTCTAAAAGTTTTCTGTGTGTTTTGTTGACCCTTCCTGGTTCTTCAGCTAAATTTGTTTTTTTTTTTTTTTTTTTTTTTTTGGAGGTTTTTTTTTTTCTATAGGATGTGTGAGCTCGTCAGACAGACAGAGAGAGACAGAGAGACAGAAAGCGAGAAATCACCCCCCGGGGGGATGGCCATGCAGCAATCCCTTCTCCTCTATTCTCCTCTCGGGATCTTGGGCACGCACGCACATGCACCCCGACCCTGCCTATTTCTGAGTTCAGGAGCTCACCTCTCTATCTTCCTCCCTCATCCTTCCTGGATCCTTGGCCCCTCTAACTCAGCCCATCAGGTGGAAGGTACAGGTACCATCCTGTCATTCCCTCTCTTTTAAAGAAATAAACAGAAAGATAGCCAGAAAGAAAGAAAAATAACAAACCACCAAGCAGACAAAAAAGTCCTCTGCAGGGAGTCGCCATTGCTTTCTCCCCCTCTCTCTTTGCTCAGCTCAGAAAAAGGTGACATCGTCAGGTACCCCCTGTGGAAAGAGGACTCGGGGCCAGCTGCAACAGATGTTCACTTGAGGGGCAGCACCTCAAAAAGGCAGTGGAGAGGGGTTCTCTCCATGTGGAAGTGGGGGTGCATTGCTGCTTTGGTCCAAGTTGTTTGGGTTACTACAAATGACAGAAACCCAGCTCAGACTGACTTATGCAAAACTGGGAAATTATTGGCAGATGTGACTAGAAGACTGGGGGGGCTTGGGCACAGTTGGATCTGAGGCTGAAATGCTGTCATCAGATTTCTGTCTCCCTCTGCGCCTGCTTCTCAGCAGGGTTTGACTCCTGTGCTGGCTGTCCATTGGATAAGGGGAGACGGCTCCCAGCAGCTGCAGTCCCGTGCCCCCGCTGAGCACCGTGGCTAGAAGAGAGGTCGCCTCCTCTGCTCTCTGATTCCAGTGAGAGCCCTGGCGCGCTCTGGTTACAGCCATGGGTCCTGCGCCTGAACTGCACGCAGCTGATGGCCGGGCCACGCAGCACACCGGAGATCTCCTCCTGGACACATGAGCTCCTGGTTTTCCTCCCACCTCCCTGGTGACTTCTCAGACTCATCGATTCCTCCTTATCTCTCCCAACAGCGTCTGTCTCCCCTCTTGTCTTTTCCGCCACTGGTCAACGGTGGTATCGGCCAGTCTCCTGACTCCGGCGCCCTCTATCGGCCTAGGTTTATACTGCAGCCCAGTCCTGCCCCCTCAGCTCCAGCCTCTCTGATTCCTAAGGAACCTCACAAACTTTCCAAGATGGAAACCATCTTTCTACCTGGGCCCACCTCTCAGTTCAAGGAATAGCATCCACCTCTTGCTGCTTCTGAAAGCATGCTCGCCTCCCTCGCCCTCACCCCATATCCAATGGTCAGCACTGATGCCCTCTTACCCTCCCTCCTCTTCCTGCCCAGGCTGCCCTCGGCCATCTCGTCCGGACTGTCCTGTGCAGGCTTCCAGCATGCCCCTGCTGTGGGTTCTCAACACTGGCCCTGTTAAAATATAGAGGAGGGCCAGCAGACGGTGTAGCAGTTACCTCACAAGATTCCCACATGGTCAACCGCACGCAGTTCACGTCCCAGACCTACCTTCAGAGTGGGCCATCCTTACCCCATCCTCGCTTGAAACTCATGCCAGGCGTGTGTTCATGCATGCCCAAGATCCTGGAAGGAGAATGGAGAAGGAATTGCAGCTTGGTCATCCCCCCGGTGGGTGATTTTTCATTCTCTCTCTCACTGCCTCTGTCGCTGTCTCTGTCTCTCTGTCTCTATCTCCAGTGAACATAAGTGCCCTAATGCAAAGACCTCTTTAGCAAGCTGGGAACCAGCAGTTAGCGTAAATGGCTATGTTGCTGGACTCCCACGTAGTCGACCACAGTTCAAGTCCCGGACCTGGTGGCTTAAAACTCACACCGGGCGCATGTGCGTGCGTGCCCAAGATCCTGAGAGGAGAATGGAGAAGGGATTGCGGCATGGCCATCCCCTCTGGGGGGTGATTTCTCGCTTTCTGTCTCTCTGTCTCTGTCTTTTCTGCGAGCACACACGCCCTATAGCAAAAACCTCTCAGGAAAAAAAAAAAAAGAATAGAGGAGATGGTCTCTGCTCACCCTCCAAGGGCTTCCAGTCTCCCTACAGATACACAACAAAGGCCTTACCTCTGTGCTTACCACCAAACACCCAATTCTCCCCGCTGTCCTGCAAACCCACCCACCCAATGCTCCTATCTCAGTGACTTGCACTTTCTGTCCCCTCTGCCAGGCTCCTCTCTGACTTCTTTCAAGTCTACTCGAATTCGCCTTCTCAGTCCTCCCCAGTTCCACCCCCACCCCGTGTATACCCTGCCCCCCTCAGCTTTATTTCCTCCAGAGCACTCACTCAAGCACTCCTCACCTTCCAATGAGCTACATATCAACTTCCATTCTGTCTGTCTTTGTTCCTTTGCTAGAATGTAAACTCTGCAGGGTGGGATCTTTCCCTGGTTCACCCACTGCTGCACCCCTGGCACCTAGACAGCACCCCCGCACCGGAGGTGCCCCACAGGGATTCAGTCTACATGCTGTTGGAAGTGGAGGTGTGGGCTAGGTACTCCTATTCACACAGGCTGAGAGGAACTGCGGGGCAAATGCCCACGGCATGCAGACTGCTGGCTTCTTGCTACATCCTCACATGGTGGAGAGAGGAGGCGCTGATGTCTACCCCCTGCCCTGAGGGTGCATGTACTCCCCAGAGAGAGACAGAGAGATGGAGAGAGAGAAAGTACCTCCCAGTGGGACATGGTCACACTGTAATCCTTTCCTCTCCATTTCTCCAGCCCGTCAGGATTTGGGTCACGCATACACATGTGCCCAGTGTGTTCTTCAAGCTGCCCAGAGCAGGATTTGAACCACAGTCAGCCATGTGGAATTCGGCCCAGTCTGTGGTATTCTGGGATAGCAGTTCACAGCCTAATCCAGGCTTCAACCAATGGACTGGTGGGGATACAAACTTTCAGTACCTAACACCCTCCTGAAAACACCAAACGGAGGTGAAGGAGCTTTTGCACACCAAGGGTCCCTGCTCCTTGGGCTGGATCCAGATGACCACGGAGACGTGCTCACCGTCTGTCAGCATCTCTTTCAGGCTCTGACCCCCTCTTGATGAGTTTCACACAGCACTCGGAACCCCTGCTGGCCTGTGTGCAGCCATTGCCCTAGGACTCCCTCTGCCCACCCCACCCAGCAGATCCCACCCTCTGGCTGAGCACGTCCTACTCGCCCACAGCCCAGTGAGGACCAGGCCTAGGTGTGGACATATGCTTGGAGACAGAGTGACGTTGTCGCCATGTTGAAGCAGATGTTCCTATGGCCCAGGGAGGTCCGCTTGGGCCATAAATCCCAGCCAAATGGCATCTCCCTGCTCTCAGAGGCTGGAGAAGTCCTGCATGGGGAGCCACGGAGCCACAGGGGTGGGTGCCAGGACCGGGCAGATCGTCCCCCAGTGCCTGCTCACAAGGCAGCCTGAGCAGATGAGCCCTTGCAAACATGGATTCCATTTTCATACAAATGTCTGTGGTTGTAGCAAATACACGATGGGGAGACAGAAATGTGACATAAAAGCCAAGTCAATTCTGCGGAAGATGCTTCCTGGTGTTTGGGGGGCTTCAGAGAGCTGTGTTAGCCACCTGTCAGGAACAGTGAGAGAACCAGATGGAGCTCTTTGGAGAAGCATCAAACGAGTTTGAGATGAATCTGCGTGGAGAGGGGTAATGTAACCAGGCCCAGGGAGCTGGGGTTGGGGTGGGCAGCGCCATTCAGAGAAGCAAATGATTAACGGTGGGACGCTCTAGGGGGGCAACTGCTGGCTATGGGGTTCAGCTCCTCCCACACTCCCACCCACCCTGCTAGCTACTCCCCAGGTAACCACCCTCCTAGGGAGCCCAGCAAGCCGCCCCAAGAGGGCCAGCAAGAAAAAGATCCCAGGAGGACCATGTTGCCGAATCTGAGTTTTCCACCCTGTGCCCTTCTCCCCTCCATGTCATCATCTGAAAATGGTGAATGACAGCTCTTCTTGTAAAGAAGAAGCCAAGGAATTGGAAAGCATCCAAATAGTCTGCTGCAGGGTGTTCGCTACTAGGAAAGGAAGAGAGGAGGGAGGAGGGAATAAGGAGGTGGAGGGGAAGAAGGGCAGGAAGCGGGCTTCTAAAGTTTAAAATCAGAGGGAAACACAGGCGTCAGCAAAGTTCGCTAGGCCCTCTTCTACAGGATTTCTTAGAGGTTCAAGTGTGTGAGAGAGAGAGAAGAGAGAAAGCTGCTCCCCTGTATCCACCATGGGAGGGATGAGAGTTTAGAGATTTTTCACAGAGCATCTTAAGGGCCTGGAGGTCTTAGGCCACATCATTTTAGAAAATGCTGATGATGGGACCAGCAGTTACCGTAATGGCTATGTCGCTGGACTCCCAAGTAGTTGACCACAGTTCAAGTCCTAGACCCGTTGGCCTAAACTCATGCTGGGCGCGTGTGCATGCGTGCCCAAGATCCTGAGAGGAGAATGGAGGAGAAGGGATTGCGGCATGGCCATCCCCCCTGGGGAATGATTTCTCGCTTTCCATCTCTCTGTCTCTCTCTGTCTTTCTGGCAAGCACACACGCCCTATAGCAAAAACCTCTCCAAAAAAAAAAAAAAAATGCTGATGATCAGCCTGTTGTGTTCTTGCTCAATGCCAAGATCCAAGTCAGATTCACAAGTGCTACTTAACAGCCACACAGATGTAGGACATGGGGCTCAGACCCAGTCCTATGCCACACCCCTGCAGCACCGCGGCGAGGCATTTCACCTCAGCTTCCCGTCAGTCACCCGGTGATCCTAAAACCCACCCCAGCACCGTGGACCCATGGAGGGACTTTGGTTAAAGGCACCATAAATAAATGGTCTTGATTACTATTCTTTTTCCTTTACAGGCCTTCCCTACCTCCTTCCATTTGGAAGATCACAGGCAGGACCTGTCTCTGGAAAGCCACAATCTTTGCCTGGTGTACTGATTTGGTGAGCTTCCTCTGAGTGCCCGCACACGTCAGGAATGTTCTAGGCCCTGGGATGCAGCAGCAAACAAAGGGACAGATCTCCGTCCTCCTGGAGCCGATGATGCAGATGGGCAGAATTCATAAACAACCATATGAGTAATAAATAGTATGTCAACACCAGTAAGGCCTGAACTCTAAGGGGGATTGAAGGATTTTTAAATCATGACAAACAACAACAGAAAAGGGGCATAGAGAATAACTTACTCTGCCCAAGATCGCTCAGGTTGCTGGCTGGCTTTGGGGAAGGTCAGTCCGGCCCCCAGAACATCTATTTTAACACAAGCTCTGGCCTGAGCTGGCCGAGGCTTTGATGGTGGCAGCTGTGGGTCCCCGTGGACCCTGCCGTGTTCCTTCTCCCCTGGCCAGCGGCTCCCGGCTTCTCAATTCATTTCGTGAGACAGAGAGGAAGACGTACCAGAAGCAGGTACTCCCTCCACTCCACGCTGATGAACTATTTTTATTTGCTGGTTAAAATAGAAAAATCGGGGGTGGGCGAGAGGGATGTAGCGTCCCTTGTGCTTGTAAATGGACTTAAAATTCTAGTCAGAAACTTCTGAGAGTGATTTGGAGGAAATCGCTTTCTATTTTCCGGTCTGGACATGCAAAGTCCGATTTCAGTATTGACCCTCGCATACGAAACACCTCAGCAGATCGGTCCTCAGACAGCCACTGTGCACGATTACGCCAGGCGGTTAACAGAATCTGAGAAAGTGGGCGGCCCCAGGACAGGCCACTAAGACTGCCCAGAGTGCAGGCGACAGGCCCTGGTGACCCCAGGACAGGCCACTAAGACTGCCCAGAGCGCAGGCGACAGGCCCTGCTCTGGGTATGTTTGCTTCTGCTTGGACTTCGGGGTCAGAAAATGCTGTTCTAACGCCTCCTTCCTCTCTCGAGGACACCCCAGCCTCCAGAAATGGGAGGAGCACCCCAATTCACCCCCTAGACAAGTGTCCACAAACTGGCTGGCTTTAAACAATAGAAATTTGTTATCTCACCATGCTGGGGACTAAGTCCAAAATCGAGGTGTCCGCAGGGCCCTGCTCCCTCCAAAAGGTCTATGGGGAGGATCTGGCCCATGCTCCTCTTCCTGCTCCATCATCCCAACATCTGCCTCCTTTGTCGCATGGCCTTCTCCCCTGCGTGTCTCCACACGAGGACACCAGTATGCAGCACCGCCTTATTTTAACGAACCACCGCTGCAAAGGCCCTGTTTCCAGAGAAAGTCGCGTGCAGACATGTCGGTAGTTTAGACTTCAAGGTACCGTTTTGTGGCTTGAATCATAACACGCTCCACGCACACACTCCAGCATGTGCTCTCACTCTGCGTCTTCTCCATCAGCAGCTCAGCCTTTGGCAGGAAGAGCCTTCTAGAAAGACGGACCCAGGAGCCTGCAAAGCTCTGGGTAGAGACTGGAGCGTGTGTGGCGTGTGAGGACTCACGTGTCAGCGTCTCTCTCCTCAGAACATCTGTGGGTCCCTGGAGCCCTGGGAGACTGTAGGAGACCTTCTGGAAGCCGCACACAGAGCATCTATGCTCCAGGGGTGGCTGGGGCTAGAGCTGGGGCTGGGGCTCACGGCACTCTGCTGGCCGCAGTGACCCCTCCACCCCGGGCAGGAGGAGCGTTTCCAGCATTTCAGAGCTCAACAGTGAGTCACGGCAGGCCTCCCCTCTGGAGAACGTGCCA